GCACGAGAAGTGCAAAAACGCATAATCGCACCGGCCCGCCTGGTGCGTTCCAGCCTGGGTTGCATTCCTGTTCTCGGCCTGTAAACCAATAAAAACGGCCAAAGTTTACACATCAGCTAAGGCAGCTATTTTTCCTTCCCATACCCGCATAAGTTTTATCAAATCTCGAGGATAATCCGCGAATGGGGCAACGAACAATACGGAAGGTAACATACTTTTTGCATACTTTCGCATTTGAAATGCATCAGCAAATTCAGGATAGTTGTTGCTTGCGTTGCATGTTCCATCGCTGCTTGCAATTCTCGGGCCTTCTCATCCTGATCCAAAGCAGATCTTAATCGTATGTCCACATGCAAATCATCTTTCGCACGTGCTTGAAGTTTGGCTACCGACACATCCAAAACGGTCTACAAAAATTAAATTTCACAGACAGCTGGTCAAACAAAAAGCAGATTTGGAAGCTAAATTCAAGTTTCTCTACATAGGCAGAAAACATCATCCTGAAATTTCAGCCCTCCAGCTCTTCTGGTTCCGGAATTAGCAAGTTTTCCCGCTATGAATTTCACTCGACCGCACGTGTGAGCTGGCGTCAAAGCTGAATTTGAGGACGCGCGGCCACACGTGGGCATGGGAAATTTACCTAAAATTTCAGCTCATTAGCTTCTGTGGTTTTTGCGACAATAATTTTTCCCTCCAAAACTATTACAGGGCTGTACATGAAATCCAGGCGTACATAAGGGCTGAGTTGACATTTGCGTGGCCAGACTTGGGCGTGGAACATTATATTAAAATTCCAGCTTCCTAGCTTTTGCTGTTTCTGAGTTGAAAATGCAAGAAAAAAAGCACTCAAGCACATATGCACACATGCACAAACACACACACACACACACATACACAGCTACAGACAGAGACTTGACAATGTGCTTTTTGTGCAGTTATTGTACAGCACAGAAACGGAACGCAAGTAACGTTGCTCTCATAATGAAGATCAAGGATTCAGCTCCGGGAATTCAAAATTCAAGTCCTGCACGAGTAGTTCATTCACTTCAGCGTTAAGCTTACAAAGGCCCTTCACTGAAATCGAGTTTACAGACGTGGTTTTGACTTTTTATTAGCCCACTTTCTATAAATCAGCCTTTCCCAGTTATCGGTTTACTTTGTTGATAATGGATAAATAAAAATGGATAGAAAACGAACGATTGCAAAGCGAAAAGCGTAATCTTTGTCCTCGATAATCCGGTCGATGGGAACAATTTTGAGCAAATCGCGCAAAAAATAATTCACTTTCATGTGTTTTGCTGAAACGAAAATGGTAAAAAGTGGTGAATAAAACCCAGTGCTTTAGTAATCCCTGTAATACACATATTTTCAGGTTTAAAATCGAGTCCATATCGGTTGCAATAAGCTTGTTTCCTACTTTACCGAGACATCTCTTTTAAGCAGATGAGACGCCTACAAATGCGGCAGTACTCCACGTTACAGGTTTTATCATATATGTTCTCTATTTGTAATCGTGGAGATTCCCCAATTCAGCGTGTCGGTGATAAGACGGAGCGAAATTTGCATGGCGTATCTCTCGACGACCATATAAATAACCAGACTTTCCGTCAGATGGGCGGCGTTAAGAATATCACTGCGTCCACGAAAGCAAAAAAAAGTCCGACGGGCACGATATATTATCCGCGTTGCTGACAACCGGTAGACGATGCACATTAATATGTAGTGTCCCTCAAAATGTAAACGACCCCCTCGAACGAATCCTCCCTCCTCCTCCCCTCCCCTCCACTCTCTTCAAGGAGTGCTCCACATACATAGAACAGGTGGTGGGTACCAGCTGGAGGTATGCAGCCCGGGATCGAAGACTTGGTGTAATTGCACCCGATGTGCAGGAATATCCTACTAACACTAACATTACTAACAAAGGAATACTACAGTGTTAGTCCGAGCGGTCTTGATATTCTTGCAAAATATAAAAATATATTAAAAAATAATCTTAAAAATATATTAAAAACAAAAAATACATCAAAATTCATGTAAAATATAAAAATATATTAAAAAATAATCAGATTAATCGGCATATTTTCGGTCCAATAAACCGCATACATTCCTTATGGACCATAGCACAACTAAAAAAACTTTCACAGGAGGCGGAAACATTCGAAATCAACTCAAATGAAAGCATTCTGTCTTCAACCAACTATTTTCATACTTCTAAAGAGTGACAGTGTGAAATATGTTCATGTTATGAAACTAAAACTGTTAAAAGGCTAAACTTGCACCTTTTTCAACATTCTCGGCATCACTAGCAATCTCCAGGAAATTTGACTTTTTGTTCGGACTGTGGTTTCCTGAAGATCCACCTTCATCATCACTTCCTTTCGGTATATCGTCTGACTTGATCGAGCGCCCGATGCAATTCAA